AAAAAAAACTGAAAAGGGAACAAATAATAGTAAAAAAAAAAAAAAGCTATTACTTTGGTTCCAGGATTCAAACTTTCAAATTTTTTTTTTACTGATTCCTTAGTGGTTTTGTTTCTGTGAAGTATGCACACTGCTGTCTGATCCTGAAAAATAATTCAAAAGTCATAATGATATAGTATAAAAAATACAGAGATTTTGTCACTGCATACATAACATCTTAGTATTTTTTTGTGACTACTGACATAAAAGCAAAAATGTGTAAACTAAACAACTATAGCTAGAAAATGTAGCTTCTTTGAAATGTACCAAACCTTGTTTCCTATTTCATCTTTAGTCAGCCGTGAAGATCTAAATAAAAATTAAATATTAATATATGGAACTGAAATAATGTTTCATTAAGTAAAATCACTTATGATCTTTGTCGTCTCCTTATTGCTGTGTAATAATTTATAGTTGTAACCTCATATAGGCTCCTGGATTGATATCATCAGTCTTTGTACAGATGAAGCTAATGTTTTTACATTCTCCTCCTGGTCCCAAGTCCTGAATGCAGTGCTTTAATATCCCCCAGGGATCTTTGTCAGTGATTGCTCGACTGATATCACTTACAATCCACACAGAAGAGCACTCTCTCAGTTTCTGTAGGGTTAGAAATATACAAAAATTGTTACACAAGGATAACTCTTACACTTGCAGTAGCATAGTCAATTATGTATTATTGTACATTTTCAATAAGCACGCATATTCTATTGTTAAAAAGGATGTTAATTGGGGGGACAGTTGTTCAAAAAGAGTGTTGTATTTACAGATTTCCACAGGTCTTCTCTAGTCTTATTGCAATCTCCAATCCCAGGAAGATCAAGAAGGACAATGTGTTTCAAAAGTTCATCACAGTTTGGAATCTTGATTTTCACACTCTTTACAAGTGGCCAGTACCAGCCACCGGGACTTGCCACACTATATTGTATGAAACATGCAACTTCATTGACAAAGTCAGATCTCTGTTAAAAAAAAATAAAAAAAAATGTAATGTTGATTTAAATATGATTTCATTACTCCAAATTCTGAATGTCATGTTTACACTTATTAGGCATTATTAATAGAAAATTAGACATATTTAGCTTGCTATAAAACATACTTCTCTTTTTGAGATGATTTTTTCACTGTCAGACAAAAAGTTGATGATTTCAGCAAATTTCTCATCTTTTTTAAGTTCTTCAAATTTTTTCTTATCTGCATCTTCTCCATACACTGCAGTAATCTTTTCTTTAGCACTTTCAAACATTTCATCATCCCTATCCTCACTGTCATCTGACAAAACTCTGAAAAGTACTTGGAGCATTTTGTCCCACTCCTGCAAATACACAAAGCATCCAATGAAATAAAAACATCATATTCTTAAAGGGTTAGTTCACCCCAAAATGAAAATTTTGTCATGTACTCACCCTCCCATGTTATTCCAAACCCATAAAAAATGTGTTCATGTTCAGAACACAAATGAAGATAACAGAGAAACAAAGATCTGTAGGTAAGAATTTAGAGCTTGCTACTTTGGCTGTGCGTCTTGCATCATTAACCCGGAACTAAAAGTTCAATTCACTTAAATTTTGTGAAGAGACTTTGAACAGAGGGACAAACATCTCTCAGATTTTATTAAAAATATATTTGCGTTCTGAAGATTCCGAATTTCTTATGGGTTTGGAATGACATGAGGGTGAGTAAATGATGACAATTTTTATTTTGGGGTGAAGTAACCCTTTAATTCCAATCATCAATTTGTTTGTTTAAGTTTTAAAAAATCATGGTAAGAATATAATACTGAAGAAATACTACTATAATACTATAGATAATACTGAAACCTCTTTAGAGTAGAGTTCGATCTCTGCTGTGTAGTTGGAGTCATCCAGATTGGCTTCCACCTGAGTAACAACAGCTGTACAGGCACCTAAACTACCAGGTGGCAGTAGATCCTCTTCTCCCAGGATTGCATTTATTAGGGAGCTCTTTCCATGTCCTGATTGTCCAAATATCCCTATTGTTGCTTTCCTTCTGTTGTCTTTATCTATCTGATCCATCTTTGAAATGACATCTCTGTGCATTATACAGATGAAACAGAGGATCTGAGGATGCATGCTTGTCAAAAAAAGTTATATAGACAAATATATTCCATACTGTGTCTAAGTAAACACTTACACTATGTAGGATTTTAATGTAGTCATGGGCTGGTCAATGTTTTTTACGGCTTGAATTTGAATATTTACACCTTCCATTATTTGCTTTGTTTGCACCATGATGGCCATATCTGTCCATTGGAAGAAAATAGTTAATTAAAGGTGATATATAAAATAAACTGTATAATACATTTTAAGATAACTGGTTTGTTCTAATTATTATTATTATTTTTTTTTTTTTTAATTATCGAATTGACTTACCTGTTGTCAGTGGTGATTCTGCGCAGGTAATTGCAGAGGCACGGTTATGTGAAACCGATGATTCATCATGAAAGCGCATTCTTTTAGGACCTATTAGAGAATTAAAAACAAATACTTACTGAGTGATAACTTGTAAAGCCATAACAAATAAATGAATTTTAGAATATAAGAGATTACATACTGTAGCTAGCCATTGTGGAAGCAATGGTTTTAACCTTGGAGAAAGAACACACGTTTCAGAAAGAAAAAACATGTTTTAGATTTTTTTTTTT